TTTACATGTTTGGCATCCTTACTTCTGCATTTCGAATTTTCCTTTGATTTCTTAATTTTAAATGGAAGCAAACAGGGTTTAAAGTCTAACAATTTATGTTCAAAATTTGTAAGATCTGGTGTATTAAAATCCACTATTCGTCTGTTAAATCTTGAAAAAGATCCAAAGTAATGTGAATATGTAGTAATAGAAAAGAGTTTAAATACATTTATTTTAAACAAAAACTTACTGAGTGTTTGGTATAATATTTTTTCCTGCTAGCTGACCAATTTCTTCTGTGTAAATAGTTTTCCATCGCTCTGTAGCTAATCCTTCTAATGAACTTTCATATAACTCTTTCTTAATCTCATCCTTCAGTCCAAAATTTGTTAAACTACCATAACTTTGTGTGAAATCTTGTTCTGGTATCCATTTCCGCTTTCTTCAAGTAAAAAATATAATTTTATGGAATACACAAGTAGCTAAAAATTAACATAAAAAATAACATGTACCTTGCATGATATGTTCTGATTTTAGGGCCTGTAAGACCTTTTGTTAAAACATTGTAAGACAAATCATAAGTTGTTGTCATGTTGTTATAATATTCCTTTTTATGACTGTGTATTTGTTCACTGGTTAAACCCTTATATAAAAGTCATATTTAGACACATTATAGATGTAATAATAACATTTGATAGTTTTGTGCATTAAGTACCATTTATTTGTATGGTGTATTATCATTGATTGAATACCTCAAGATTAATTTTGTTATCCCATTTTGTAATTTGATTTTCATTCCATGTTTTATTTATATGAGACTTATAATCTGTATCGTAAGTAGTTCTCCAATCAACAATTTGAGGAATAGAAACTGTTCTACGTTCAAACCAATTGCCTTCTAGAGTTTTTGGAGTATATTTGTCTTCACTCAATGTCGGAGCACGATCAAGTTCTTTTTCAGGAAACAATTTTGCTCGTAAATCTTGTAACGACAATGTGGTTTCTAAACACTTCTGTTCCAAATTCCAATGCAAAGCATTCATCTTGAGGGTGAAATGAACACTGCATTTGAAGTTTCACAAGTATCTGTGTTGTCATTAAATGAAGACATGAACTTAGAATTGTCCATAGTAGACGTATTAAACAAATGCAGATTTATGTGTAATATAAATTATTTTATTAAATAAATTTGCTATCTAAGAATTATAATAGATAAAAATTGAATGCATTTATTTGATATTCTTAATGCAAATATTGAGTAATCATAAGAAGAAGAATGATAATATTAAATTTTCTTATATATAAAAGTAATTTCAATTCGTAGGAGCATGTATCTTGTGAATATTGTAACATATAATATCTCCTAGCTACAGTCTTCCTAGATCTCGTACATGAATCTATTGACTAACTCTATAGAAATGGTTAGACTTTCTACTTCATTCTATTCTCTGCTACAAACGGAGTAAATTTGAATTTGATTAAGGACTTTAAAAGAATATACATACGTACTGTTTCAATGTGGACACAAGAATGTGCAATGAAAAGAAATTTATTAATTGCATTGCGTTTTTATAGCAAACCTACTTCAATACAAATAGATCTTGCTATACATCATTCAGCTGCAATATAAAGTTTTATATTGCCAGAATTTATATGAATGCGAAGCGTAATTCAATGAGCGCACAGATAGGATGTACAATAACTTTTTTTAACAAAGAATAATGCAACCAAACGCACAAAATGACTACATATGTAGGTTTGACACACTTCACCTGTACATGTATAACGCATTTTTCGACATATTGCAAAACAATGAAACGAATATCTACATCTGTCAACTTATTTATTTATTTCATATTCGCACATCTCGTACAGTTTACAAAAAAATCTGCAATAGTTATAGATCAACCCCCTTTTCAACACTGATCATTGCTTTCCTGTGTGAATATACATTGTCAAAATATTAATAACTCTGAGTGTTCTCTTGCTTTTTTTATGTAATATATTGAGGATCCTTGGTTGAAATGGTGTTTTCAATAAGTATCTGATTGTTCAAAAATATTTTGTACAATACAATTCATTCAGTAATTTAAAGCTCTGTCATCAGAAGAAAGCCACTGATTAAAGAAAATATAATTTAATTTGAATAGATAATAGGCTGTGGACTCAATAAATCTCGTCGTCTCATCATATGTTTCAATTATAATATAAGCGTTTCAGAATTTGCTTTTTTATCCACATAAAAAATCAATACTTCTTGTACGATAGTCTACAAAAATAAATGGTAATTTAATAAGGAAAAGTGGCCGATTTCGGAAACTTCCAATCAAAGTAATTGGCTTAGCAAACATTTTACTTTAAAATTCACAATTGCTCAAGGAAAGATTATTGAACCATTAATTCAAAATTTAGCGAATACATGTTAATATCTTACTTGCACTGTCGAATGAAAAGTACATTATTGTATGACAATATTTTGAATATCATTAAGGCGTTAAGATGTTAATATTACGTGTACTTTTTGCGATAAATACATATATGTACTTGTAGCCTTTTACGAGTAGGGCATTTTGCATAGGATTGTTTTTTTTTTGTTGATTTGCCAAACTAATGTAATGGGATATACGATTATATTTACATACATTTAACAAGAATATCTCAATAATAATTGCACTCATTATGCACCACGCACTTGTTTTTGCCTATTAGCAAACACAATTTCACCCTTGATATCACAAAAGTTTTAAAAAACGGAAGATGACAGAAATGATCTTACGTAGAAACATGATTTCCTATGTCGTTACCCACAACAACAAGAGACAGTGAGTGATAATTGTTCGTAAACAAAATGTTAATTTTTCTTTTTTTTTTCTTTTCTACACAATGTAAATGTCTGAGCGTAACAAGATTCCATTGTATGAAGTTAATAAACAAGTATTTTGTTGCGCACAGCTTACAGAAAACTATATGTTTCTTAAATTAATAAATATTAGAATTCTCCTATTCTGGACAGAACAGCACAAGAGTATCTGAGTGAGACCCGCAAAGTTTTTAAAAATCATAAATAAAACGATTACAAAAAATACATAGAAAGCATTGATTATCGACGAATATTAGATAAGAGAATAGTTTAGTAAAAAAAGAAACAAAATGCACATATATGCGTCTTTGTGTACTTAATGGTTACACCAAAAAGGAAAACCGAAACGTGTGAATCTGTGTGTGAGCGATTTACTGGTGGCCTGCAACAGGTTTTAGGAACTTAAGCAGACCTGTGCAATAAGCTCACAATTAGATATACAAAATTACATATTTAGGTAACTTCTGAGCACAAACTCAATATGAAGAAACATACAATAACTTGTTTACCTAAAAACAAAAGACTTTTTCCTACAGACCAAATTCTGTTGGGCTGCGGGCTTTAAATGTAGTATAAAAGCCTCTGGTATAAACAAATAAGCGATAATAAATTAATTTAAATTAGATGATTACATAAAGATCGATGCAATAAAAAGTGGACTATACATATTTAATAAAATAAACATGAATGAAGATTAGGATGAAATTGTTCTGTCGAAAAGTATCTCTCGTTAAGTCATTGGTTCTTGGACCTTCAATAATTGTTAGAGTGACCAACAAACTTAACGCTTGGTTAAGCGAGTCCTCTACGAAGATCAGGAATTAATTTGATGTCACGTGTTTGTTAATAGCAATGGAGAGAATTCTTACAATTATAAATACTTATAAGCCATACGATCATACCTACGATTTTTCTCAATGCCGCATGTCCAATCGTTAGCGATACCTACCAAATCTTAAATAGTACTGCCTCGTTTTTTGCAAATTTCAATGTCAATAATAGTTTTGGTGAAACTGCTAGAGACAAATCGGTCAAATCATAGTAGAATCGATCTCAAGAATATTTGCTATTCCAAGATATGTGGAATTTTGTTATTTGTTTAGTATGTTTACATCTAAATAAGACGCATAACAGTACAAAAATTTCTATGGAAGTAATCGAAATATTTTCTACAAGAGGCCTTTACGTGTTTATTTGATAGACATTCACTTTTATTTGTCGTGCATGATATTAAATTAAATAATTTATAAAAATTAACTATTTACAATTCGATGGGACATGCAGCGCTAATTTCATAACTTAATGCACATATCTTGAATATACCTAAGTACATGCTCTTTTTTGAGACAAATAACAAGAACTGGCGGTGCTCCTTACGGATATATTACATCTATTGCCCTTACTATATAATCGTAATATTTATGTGTATCCACTACAAATTAGAGTATCTGGAACTATTTTCTTTTCATTGATGAAAGCGTTCTTGCATACGTTTTCTGTAAAAGTGAAGGGTTTGGCATTATGCTCACGATCACTGTACGTTGTGACCCATATCTGAATAGAAACATGAAAAAAATAAACAAATATCAAAACTGTACCAGAAAAGCACATCAATTAACTAAAACTTAATTGGTTCTTTTTGAAACAAGCAATACCATCTATACGTCCACTTACTTAGCAAGAAAGAAACGAATATAAATAAAAGAATTGTCGCAAGGTTTGTTCGTTTTTTTCCTTTTTTTTATGGTAATTATATTTTTAGACATTTTCGTATGAAACTGTATGAATTCATTAGTGATTGTTATCGTACATTACTTTGGTGGAATCGATGAGCGAGAGATTAAACGTATCAAACGACCCACTTACTCTAAAACGTAGATCGTCCCAGACCGTTTCCTTTCGTACAAAATCGAACAAACCCACGATTTCATAATCAGATTGTAGATGTTTAATTATTTGCATCTAAAAAAAAAAAAAAGAGATTCGATATATAAATTAAACACTACAAAGTATAGGGAAGCTCCTTACTCACCACGATTTCCTGTTCTAATAACGTTAAGATTGGTTAAATGGTGTTGACCAGCCCTGATTGGTTTAGCGATCTGTGGGATAGGTCCGCGACGAGCCAATGTCTTCTGTCTCACAGCTTCCTTGATTCTATCTACTTCGAATTGGTAGCGTTTGCGATCTCGCATCGCATTCTCTTTGGCAGTGCGCAATGCCATTTCAAGGGCTTTCACGCGCTCTGTCGTTCCCCGCAATCTCTTCTCAAGCTTCGGCAATTCGCAGCGGAGATCAGCATTGTCCCTCACTAGTTGCTTGTGAACCTATCACAGATACGAAGTTTACGTTAATTTTAAGCGTAGCTATTTATCGAATTTCTATCGCATTTATAGTAACTACCTTTGTCAGTTGATCCAAGTTATTCTCAAGGAAGGAGATTTTCTGTTTCTGAGTAAGTGCACTGACATCATCCTCGTTTTCCTGCGAGTTCATATTCTTCTTTATTCTAGTTTGTAGGTCCTGGACGAATAATTTGCGCAAATTGTGCAATGTTTGAAGTTCTTTGGCTACTGTTTCCTCCAGACTCTTGAGATCCTTTCGGGCCTATAATTTCATGAATAGTAAATGATAATTTATTTCCTAAGTTGTGCCAACATACTTTTAACTGAATTTATACGTACTTGTTCGCGACGTTCGTTAACCAACGTTAATTCTTGCAATTTTACGGACTTGTTCGACTCTTCCTGCTTCAACCGTTCGTAATCAGCTTGCATTTGTTGATGGGCTAACGTAAACTTCTGATTCAAATCTTTAAGCTCACTGATGAGTTCTTCTTTCTCGGAGACGTCATCTCTAAGCGCAGCAACCTACCATAATATGCAACATTAATAATAATATACTTTATTTATATTACAATATATAATTTCATTAATTTCACCTGTTTCTGATGAGCATCTCGCAACTGATCCATTTGCGCTTCAAGTGCCAATCTCATCTTCGTTGCCGCTTCCTTTTCTTCTGCCTTTTCTTTATTTGTAACCGCTTGTACCTGCTCTGCAGCTTTCAGCTTAGCGCATTCCTCACGCAAAGCGTCTATATCCTCTTCCAAAGCACGTTTACGTGCTTCTGCTACTTTCATCGAATCTGTCAACATTTGCATTCGAGCTTCGTGTTGCGTAATTAGTAGACGACATTCGGCCAAGTCTTTTTCATATTCAGCAACCTGGAACATAACATATGAATGAATGTTGTAAAGAATTTTGCAAAGAAAATATAATGGATTGAAACATCACGAAATCGAACGCTTACTTTCTTGTTACAGTCTACTTGGAAACTTTCTAATCCTTGGCAACGCTGTACTAAATTTTTCACCTCTGATTTCATTTTGCTAATGAAAAGTCTTGCTACCGTGAATTCTTCTTCGAGTTTACCATTGCTTTCTGGTGCAACCTACAAAACACCAAATATCTTGTATATCTTTTCATTCGTACATTACATATGTGTAGAGTACGGAGTATAATTGTTGATATACTGATGAGAAAAAATTAATACATATTTAAATGTGGCAAAAAGAGAAAAATCCGTATAAATCACGGTTACTCATTCGATGTACATGCATCTTCATTCGCACCCTATTTCTTTTTTATTCCTTTCTCTCTTTCACGCAGCCTGTTGCACCAGCTTAACTGTTTGTCTACGTATACGATTTTTCTGAGTCATTGGTGTTCTAAAAATGTTTAAAACGATTCAGTTACCTTTAAGTTTTCGTCACCACCAATGGCAACTCCAATCTCGCCTAAATCTTTCAGGAAGTTTGCTAACATTTCTGTAAGGCGTTTTCTCTGATGAGCAGACATGTCCCGTAATTGTTGCAATTCTGAACTTGTAGTATTTAATGCTGCTTGTTTTGCTAATAGTTCTTCCGTCAGAGCTACCTGTTCTTTGTTTTTTACTTCAACCTGAGAATATAGAAATATATTTTTAACATACTATTCCCATGTTATTCATCAGATATTATAAAACATTATAATGAAAATACTTCTTGAGACTTCTGGTCATAATTAACTGCTAGTTCTTCAAGCGCTTGTAGAACTTCTTTAACTTCTTCTTTCGCACTTTCATTCTCTTGTTGTATACGATTCATTTCTTGTTGAAGCTGTTCATAATCTCGTCTCGTACTTGCAATTAATTCTTCTTGCTCGTCCATTTGTTCTTTTAGTTTCTCAACGTACTGCGATTGCTGATTAATTTCCTCATCTTTATCGTCCAGTTGTTGGTAGAGTTTTTCACGTTCTTCTTCTAATTTCTGTCTTTCTTCATTGGATAAGGATCCAGCCATGAGGTTGCCACCAGGCGTGGCTGGCATTGGACCATCGTCAATTTTGCCTAAATAATATTACATTTTACATACGAACCATTGCATACTTATTTTTATAAATAAAATTATACAATTACCTTCAACGGACATATTAATTGGTGTTGTAACATCTGGTGCTTCAACCAAATTAACTTGTTCTTCGGGTTTAACTGTTTCACCCTGACGCCAACGTGACAATTCGGCCTCCAATTTCTCAACCTTTCCTTTAAATCTAGCTGCCTTCTCTTTTTCTTTCTCATAACGACGTTTCCATTCTTCAGCTGTTAATTCTTCATTGACACATACAACATTCTTAATAGTCTTAGCGCGCTTACCTGGAAAAATGTGTAAGGTGTTATTTTGCTGTATATAATTCGAAGAGTTAATAGTTCATTTCTAAATGGTAAATTATTGATTATAAATAACGTTACCGAAATCTAAGGTAGACTTCGTTTCAGATTCATTAAAACTAGCTGGTGAACAACAAATAATAATTGTAGTTCTAGCATTTCCACCAAGAGATTCTTGCAAAATTCGAGTTAATTTTGAATCACGATAAGGAATGTGAGTTTTGTTTCCATCGGCTAGAGCTGAAATTACGTTGCCAAGCGCTGATAGTGATTTGTTAATGTTTTTCGCTTCGTCGAGCACAGTGCCTTCTGCTCCAGTTTTCGAGACCTAAAACAAAATATAGACATAAAACTCATATATAATATTAACAAATGGGAAAAAGATGAAAATTTTAGGTATATAATGAACCTTCTCTGAACCAGCCAAATCCACAAGGTACAGCTTTCCTGATAGCTTCTTTTGATTTTCTAAATTTTCTTGTTTAACATTTATTAAGAATACAGAGTGAGAACGGGAACTGTGTTCATTCATATTAGTTACAGCAATATGCCTATTTGACTTTCCTTCTTCTATAACTTCAAACACTTCTTCTGGACTAGATACAAAACGCTCTGTCGCACCCTTCACAAATGGAACCCGATTTTTATCTTCGTGTACACTTAAATTCACTTTAGATACTGAAAACATGAAAGCAAGATAGGTAAGTGTTTAAAGCAATTTATCAGTTTTCAAACAGAAATTAAATCTGAGAACAACATATAGTGAGAGCATTTGTGTTCACTTATTTATCAATAGATATTCATTCTTTTTTTGTACCATATATATGTATATATTGCCATATATACGAATAAAACAATTCTTTCCAATACGTACAATGTGATCTTAACATACAACAAATGAACACAAAGACAGGTATTTTATTACTACTAGTGAAACTCTTACCATCAAGCAGGTCTCTGATTTTATCCATGTAGATTTCAAAATATGATATCTTGATATGAAATTCCAAATTTTCTTCCATACCATAAATATGATTGAAAATGTCATTAACGATTCTGGGAATAATACCCTGTTTATTTGAATCTCCAATAACACCTTCCATCGTGTGCGTTTTTCCTATTCAAATATAATAAATATTTATGTAAGTAATATTTAACATTAATAAATAATATTTCATTAATTACAAATTGTTACTTGAAGAGATTTGGTTAAAGAGTATATGATTGTTTAACACGTTCATCGCCCGCCGCAATTTGGGTGAGTTTCTCGCGGGGCCTAAATCCAACTATCGGAGCGCCGAAACGTAAACATAGCGATAAGCGGGAATAGCAATAAAATTTATAGACAATAAAATTTTGGATTTCTGAATGGGGAAAGCGATAAGGTTTTCGACTAGAGGACTTCTGTTATCCTAAATACTTCATTTAGTCGAGAAGCATACTTTTTTTAAGACGCACGTCAGTGATTTTAATCACAGAAACTAATAGATACGCAGACCAAAAATTGCAATAATAGATTCCCAGATCTGGGTGATGCGGCGACGAATGTGTTAAAGGTGATATGAATAAAGGAAAGTAATTATGGCTAGAATATAACAGACATGAGGCAGTGGTTTGAGCTGGGTCATTCTGAATAAGTCCGAAACCAAGTTTACATTATCATGTAACAAAAAGTTTATCTCCAAACATGACTTGCTCTGGCTGTGGATGGTCAGTTAAAGGGTGGGAGAATTATGGTAAAGGGAAATATAGAGGTATAAGGAAATCATTATTATGTAATAGGAAGAATTAGCATAATTATAATGCATGACCAAAATCATGACCTCTAGTAAAGAAGTAGGAAATAATTAATAATGTAAACCAAGTTCCATTTCTTCATTGTAAAATATAGTATATATTACTTACCTGAGGATGTTTGTCCATATGCAAAAATAGTGCCATTGTATCCTGCCAACACATCTGTGACAATTGATCTAGCTGCTTCATTGTATACTTTGTCTTGTGTAGCATTTGGTTTAAATACTTTGTCAAAAAGATATACTTTTCCCTAAAAGAATATTATAATACTACATTACAAAATATATTTAAAGAATATAATACATTAATATTAGAAAACAGTTATATATAAACAAAATGTGCTTTTAATGAGCTTCATAAACTGCTCGTATGCATTACACAAAATGTAAATAAATATTATAAATTATATTATTTAAACTTTACATTATGTGATATAGAATGCATAGAATAATTAATTAAACATGTTAAAACTGAGGAACCTCAGAAATTGGAGATGATCAGTTTGGTTTAAAGAGGCTTGCAGACTCACACGCATATACTCTCACATCTCTTTCAAGTATGGCAAAGAATATGAGAAAAGGGGGAACAATTGCATTCACCAAAGCTTTGTTTCTTGAGCCTCTTGGCACAATGGCGATATCTTTTCTAAGCACTAAAGAAGATAAAAAACCTTCCACATAATTCACATTGATCACATGATAGCGATCAAATACATTTAAGAATGATATCTATGAATTAATAAGTTGCTACATATGAATAAGAAACATATTATTTGGTAGTAATCTCACAAAGGATTACCTATGCTCTTTTTTAAAACACAAAATAATTCTCTTTGTAATAACACTTTGCAAGACGATATAAAGGTATTTAATAACATCTGTATTATACTATATTATATTATCTTTCCACTAAATACACCGTTAATCTAATATTATAATATACAAAACTTTTTC